CGGAGCTGGGCAGAAGGGGAAGTGAGAGAGGGAGCAAGGGACAGAATATTCGGTGGAGGAGTAGGACGCCATTGACTGCCAACACTCTTTTGGAAGAAGAAGATTTGATCGGAGAAGGAGAAGTGGGACGCTAACTGTCACATTAATTATAATTAAAAGTAATTAAAAGTAATTAAAAGAAAAAGATTAATCCAAATTAATTATAATTAAATGAAATACTAAATACGTCACCACGCATACAATTTAAAAATGTCACGTCTTCTGTCAGATCATCCATCCTTAAGGTCGTTTGTTTCTATTTAACGGAAGGGACAATTTTGATACAAAATTTAAAAGTGAGGACCAAGTTGACACTTTTTTAAAACCATGAACCAAATTGACATAATCGAGCAAAACTGGGGACAAAAGAGGCTATTAAGCTTGATTTTAAATTAAATATGTCCATTCCTATGGTGTGTGTGAAAGTGCTAGAGACTGCATTATTGAGAGGTTAAACATTGTAACTAAGCAAGGTTTTAATGATTTTCATATCCCTTATGGGTAGTGTATGACTTGCAGCATACACTTAATGAAATCACCTATATGAGTATCAAGTGGGGCCGCTTGCATGAGATTTTGGCATGATCTCTAGAGCACTCCATGAATATCGGGCATGTGCAATGGCCTAAGTAAGCATCACAGCGATAACAACAAGGATTGTGGAGGTGTATTGTGATTGATAAACCTCTAACACACTCAAGTGTCTTTGGTTCATATAGCTTGCTATACCAACTACAATGTGTGTTAAGTTTCTCGAATCGAGGAACCGGTTCATATAACTGCTATATGCTATACTAGCTCTGATGCATTACATCTTATGAAACCCATGATATTTCTTCTCTATCTCTTTCGTTTTGTTTCTTTTGCAATATGTGGGAGATTGTTATAAACTTATGCGTTTATTATTATATTGAAAAATAAAGGTTGACCAAGCTTTGCTTTTGTTTCTCTTTTCCGCAAGCAACGCTAATGTTGTAGAACGTTGCTTACTCAAGTTTCGGGATTCCTACGCACTGTAGCTCAACCACCCGCAAGGCTCGAGATATTTTTTTTGTGCTTTGGACCTTGGGCCTTTTTCCCTTGGTTTTCTTCAATATAAATAGAGCCACTATGTTCATTCCAAAGACACAAACAAAACCAACGAGTTCTCTTTCTCTCACATTGTTGTTCTCTCACATTGTTGTTCTCTCACATTGTTGATCTCTCTCGTTCTCTTGCATAGATTTTTCCACAGCGCATTTTTCTAGTTTTTTTTTCTTCTCTTGTTTTGGGTTTCATTATTTTTCTTTTAGAGATCCTTGTTAGTTCTGATATCTTCATAAATTTTTGAGAAGGTCCTGTTGTATCTTGGGGACTTGCTCAATACACCATTGATAAGTCCTTAAGGACAGTGATTTACACGCCTCAGAAAATCCTTTGTTCATTATTTTTATACTTTTATTATTAGTTTCTACAACAATTTATAGGGTTTGTGTATTTTTCTTTTTATGTTTTTGAATCTTGATTTTTACCTTTGTTCTAATTCTTTTAAAAGAAAATAATAATACTTTTTTCTAGAAGGAACTAAATTTGAAATAGCCTTTTATCGTAATATATACTGTTTTATATAAATTTAAAATGCAATTTATTTATTTAACGATATTTTTATTATAGACTTTAATTACAATGTTTATAACATTCTTTATATATTCAAAGTACTTATCCATTATACATTTGACATGATAACTAATCACTTGAATCTTTGAAGTTTTGTACGTATTTAAAAATTGAAATAACGAGATTAGCATATGACCTAAATATATAATTAATAAACTACAATTAATTCAAACTAGTTTGATGAACTAAAAAGTTCAATTCAGATATTTTATATTTCACTTAAATTTAAAGTGGTGAATGATTCCATAATCCATTATGGCTTGAAATGGCAAACATAGATTAGGTGAGAAGAACCATTAAGACCAATGCGAAAAATCATAAAAGGAAAAGTAGGAAGGAATTACAGTGCTATAATATATATCATTATTACATGAAACAACCAACGGAGACAAATTTCAGAAGACATAAAAGTGGAACAACGTCGGAAACAACTAAGGGACACACCGACACCAAGAGAGACTCGCACAAGTGGAGCCCTCGTCGACCTCCCTTTATTTTTCATTACCTATGTCTACGTTACTATTATATATTCTGCCACTGAAAAATTCCCCTCCTTGCCATCTCTTCCTTTTACCATATCTATCTTTTACTTGATGCTGCAATGTTGCACAAACCATCAAACACATCAGTTAAACATAAACATCAAACTTTCATACTAAAATGAATGCAAGATCCTAGTTCTACAACTTCAGAACATATTTGAACTATTTTTAAGAAAACTCTCAAGAAATTTTTACTAACCATTCAAAAAGAGGTTAAATACACTTTCATTAGGCTTATGCTCTATTAAGTAGTAGAACATAAGTCTAAGTCAGTTTGTTTACTGAGTCTTTACGGTAATACATTGAACATGTCGTTTACTGAGTCTCTGTCCTCTGATTAATGAGAATGCATTATTTGTGGTCCTTATCTCTCAAAACATTATCTTTTTTTCTTTTTTATGTCGTTTGTTTATATAAACAGATTTCTTATGAGTGCTAAATGACAAATAAAAAGTCAACATTTTAAAACATCTTAGCAATATATTTCCTTGGAGAGTCTCCTCCAAATATGGATAGTAAAAAGAAACAACTAAACAAAAACATGGAAAGCATTTTCAGGAGCAATAATGTTTAAAATACATTTACACAGTAAATGTGGACACCTTAACCATTGATCTCTTCTCCTACATCTAAATGCAAAAAAGTTTCTTTTTTCNAAACTACAATTAATTCAAACTAGTTTGATGAACTAAAAAGTTCAATTCAGAGATTTTATATTTCACTTAAATTTAAAGTGGTGAATGATTCCATAATCCATTATGGCTTGAAATGGCAAACATAGATTAGGTGAGAAGAACCATTAAGACCAATGCGAAAAATCATAAAAGGAAAAGTAGGAAGGAATTACAGTGCTATAATATATATCATTATTACATGAAACAACCAACGGAGACAAATTTCAGAAGACATAAAAGTGGAACAACGTCGGAAACAACTAAGGGACACACCGACACCAAGAGAGACTCGCACAAGTGGAGCCCTCGTCGACCTCCCTTTATTTTTCATTACCTATGTCTACGTTACTATTATATATTCTGCCACTGAAAAATTCCCCTCCTTGCCATCTCTTCCTTTTACCATATCTATCTTTTACTTGATGCTGCAATGTTGCACAAACCATCAAACACATCAGTTAAACATAAACATCAAACTTTCATACTAAAATGAATGCAAGATCCTAGTTCTACAACTTCAGAACATATTTGAACTATTTTTAAGAAAACTCTCAAGAAATTTTTACTAACCATTCAAAAAGAGGTTAAATACACTTTCATTAGGCTTATGCTCTATTAAGTAGTAGAACATAAGTCTAAGTCAGTTTGTTTACTGAGTCTTTACGGTAATACATTGAACATGTCGTTTACTGAGTCTCTGTCCTCTGATTAATGAGAATGCATTATTTGTGGTCCTTATCTCTCAAAACATTATCTTTTTTTCTTTTTTATGTCGTTTGTTTATATAAACAGATTTCTTATGAGTGCTAAATGACAAATAAAAAGTCAACATTTTAAAACATCTTAGCAATATATTTCCTTGGAGAGTCTCCTCCAAATATGGATAGTAAAAAGAAACAACTAAACAAAAACATGGAAAGCATTTTCAGGAGCAATAATGTTTAAAATACATTTACACAGTAAATGTGGACACCTTAACCATTGATCTCTTCTCCTACATCTAAATGCAAAAAAGTTTCTTTTTTCTGGAAATGTGTTGAGATATGTTAGAGAGAGTGTAATTGTGATCTAAAGTTACTTTATTTAACAAGGGTATCATCATCAGAAACTCTGAACCGTTTAATTAAGTAGAACACAAGTAGCTAAGACCTGTGAGTACGTGAATTAATTAGAGTAATTAACGTAATGAGGCTATTAGTGAAAGAAATGTGTGAGGAAATAAGTGGTGTGTTGAACATACGTATTGCAGTTGGTGGAGGTGCTGATCTTGTAGGGGACATTGACTTTACATTTGCCTGGGAGTGAAGCGGCGTTGCCCGGGTTGATACCCGACGCTGAACCGGAAAGCTGTTTCAGACAGTTGCACGTGGTCTTGCGGTCAGCGGTGGTCTTCGCCTGGGAGTTCAGGTTCTTCACTCCGCTGCAACACCCCACCGACGGATTTCCGCCTTTTGTGAGGTAGCTGAAGCAGGGAGCCACATAACTGGCCACTTGATTGCACGTGATAGCATGTGCCATATGTGCACTCACCACGACCATGAAAACCACCGCAACCATGCATGCAACCTTCAGGCTAGCCATCGCCACAGATCAGAGGAACAAATGAGAAGGAAAGTCACAATATATGTTTGGTTTTGGTGAGTCTCTTGCTTAGTGCTTTGTAAGTAAAGTTGCGCAAGAGTAGGGTTTATATAGAGCATGAGATAGTACTAAGAAGTTATTAGGTTGGCCATCATCGTAATTCAATATGGTTACGACTTTTGTTCTTCTTTAATTAATTTAATTATTGTGATTTAAATATTAAGAAATAAAATACAAAGTTAAAAAAGGTTTTCTGCATAAAAAACTACATCTACCAGAATTTGTGAGCACAGATAAACAAGTGGTGTGTATGATAGTGCATGTATGACAGGCTTTGGTTTGTTGGTAGTTGAGAAAAATTTAATGCAGTGTGGTACATGGTCTAATCGTTGAGCA